TTATAATCCTTTGGATATATACCCAGTAATGGGATTGCTGGGTCAAATGGAATTTCTATTTCTAGGTCCTTGAGGAATTGCCACATTGTCTTCCACAATGGTTGAACTAACTTACACTCCCACCAACAGTGTAAAAGTGTTCCTATTTCTCCACATCCTCTTCAGCATCAGTCTCCAGATTTTTTCATGATCGCCATTTTAACTGGCATGAGGTGGTATCTCAATGTGGTTTTGATTTGCATTTCTCTAATGACTAGTGATGATGAGCATTTTTTCATGTTTGTTGGCCTCATATTTGTCTTTATTTGAAAAGTGTTTGTTCATATCCTTCACCCACTTTTGAATGGGTTTGTTTTTTTCCTGTAAATCTGCTTTTGTACTTTGTAGATTCTGGATATTAGCCCTTTGTCTGATGGGTAGATTGCAAAAAATTTTTTCCCATTCTGTTGGTTGATGGTTTACTCTAATGATTGTTTCTTTTGCTGTGCAGAAGCTCTGGAGTTGACTTAGATCCCATTTGTTTATTTTGGCTTTTGTTGCCAATGCTTTTGGTGTTTTAGTCATGAAGTCCTTGCCTGTGCCTATGTCCTGAATGGTTTTGCCTCGGTTTTCTTCTAGGATTTTTAGGTGCTAGTTCTTAAATTTAAATCTTTAATTAATTCATCTGGAGTGAGTTAATTTTCGTATGAGGTGTAAGGAAGGGGTTCAGTTATTGAGAGTTTTTAGCATAAAGGGCTATTGAATTTTGTTGAAGGCCTTCTATGCATTTATTGAGATAATCATGTGGTTTTTGTCTTTGGTTCTGTTTACGTGGTGAATTACATTTACAGATTTGTGTATGTTGAACCAGCCTTGGATCTCCGGGATGAAGCCTACTTGATTGTGGTGGATAAGCTTTTTGATGTGCTGTTGGATTCAGTTTGCCAGTATTTTATTGAAGATTTCTGCATCGACGTTCATCATGGATATTGGCCTGTAGTTTACATTTTTAGTTGTGTCTCTGCCAGATTTTGGTATCAGGATGGTGTTGGTCTCATAGAAGGAGTTAGGGAGGATTCCCTCTTTTTGTACTGTTTGTAATAGTTTCAACAGGAATGGTACCAGCTCCTCCTTGTACATCTGTTAGAATTCAGCTGTGGACCCATCTGGACCTGGACTTTTTTTGGTTTGTACGCTGTTAATTGGTGTCTCAACTTCAGCCCTTGTTATTGGTCTATTCAGGGTTTCAACTTCTTCTTGGCTTAGTCTTGGGAGTGTGCAAGTGTCCAGGAATTTATGCATTTCTTCCAGATTTACTGGCTTATATGCATAGAGTTGTTTGTAGTAATCTCTGATGGCAGTTTGTATTTCCAAGGAATTGGTGTTGATCTCCCTTTATTGTTTTTTTACTGTATCTATTCTATTCTTCTCTCTTCTTTTTTATTAATCTAACTAGCGGTCTATTTTGTTGATCTTTTCAAAAAACCAGTTCCTGGATTTATTGATTTTTTTGAAGGGTTTTTTGTGTCTCTGTCTCCTTCAGTTCTCCTCTGATATTAGTTATTTCTTGTGTTCTGCTTGCTATTGAGTTTTTTAAATCTTGCTCCTCTTGCTCTTTTAATTTTGATGATAGGGTGTTGCTTTTAGATCTTTCCTTGTTTCCCATGTGGGCATTTATTGCTATAAATTTACCCTAGAGGTTGCTTTAAATGTGTCCCATAGGATCTGGTACATTGTGTCTTTATTCTCATTAGTTGCAAAGAACACTTTTATTTCTGCCTTCATTTCATTGTTTATCCATTCGTCATACAGGAGCAAGTTGTTCAGTTTCCATGTGATTGTGCAGTTTTGAGTGCTTTTCTTAATGCTGAATTCTAATTTGATTGTGCTGTGGTCTGAGAGACTGTTATGATTTCTGTTATTTTGCATTTGCTGAGGAGTGATTTACTTCCAATTATGTAGTCAGTTTTGGAGTAAGTGCAATGTGGTGCTGAGAATGATGTGTATTCTGTGGATTTGGGGCGGAGTTTCCTGTAAATGTCTATTAGGTCCACTGGGTCCAAATCTGCTTTCAAGTCCTGGATATCCTTGTTGACTTTGTATCATTGATTTGTCCAATATTGTCAGTGAAGTGTTAAAGTCTCCCACTATTATTGTGCTGGAGTCTAAGTCTCTTTGTAGGTCTTTAAGAACTTGCTTTATGTATCTGGGTCCTCCTGCATTGGGTGCATAAATATTTAGGATAGTTAGCTGTTATTGTTGCATTGATTCTTTTACCATTATGTAATGCCCTTCTTTGTCTC